CATGCCAGAGCTGGACATGAGCCTTTGGCCTAGGGATCAGTTTCTTGCCAGTGACTAAAGCTGTAGTGGGATTACTATTTTATATCAGGTTAACAGTAGCTCTTGCATCTTCACTTGACAAGTCTCAGAGGGCAGGGCTTTGAAGTGCACGTGTGTGCTTGGTCAAGCTGAGGTACATAGTGGTAGTGATAACCTGGAGTAGTAGCAGAGCCTGACATGAGCCTTTGGCCTAGGGATCAGTTTCTTGCCAGTGACTAAAGCTGTAGTGGGATTACTATTTTATATCAGGTTAACAGTAGCTCTTGCATCTTCACTTGACAAGTCTCAGAGGGCAGGGCTTTGAAGTGCACGTGTGTGCTTGGTCAAGCTGAGGTACATAGTGGTAGTGATAACCTGGAGTAGTAGCAGAGCCTGAGCGCCAAGCAGTGCAAGGAAGCCCCCAGTGAAATCAGAGGGATGAATCCATGGTGAGGTTTGTAAAAGAAAAATACCCAGGCCTCCAGACAGGATTATCATCTTGATGATGAGTATGATGATGATCGTCTTCCACCCCTCTCTCTGCTCTGCACAATACACGTGTGCAACAAAAATGGGGTAGAAGAGACTGATAACCAGGCAGGCATACACAAAAACCCTGGCTATTGCCAGTGCTAGTATGCTGATGCCCATTGCCTGCAGATCCATGTAGTTCAGGCACTGCAGCTCTCCGGCTGTCTCATTAAACAGGCAGAAGTTGTAAAAGCCAATGCATTTGTCAGGGAGGTTGACCAGGTTTCCAAATTCCCACCACAGTGCATAGAACATCAAGGCCAAGGTCCCAGCAGCCTGGAGGAGAGCCAGCACATAGGGCAGGCGCCCAGTACACCTCTGTTGCAGCAAACCCATCCAGCTGCCAACATGCTTTCTTGCTGCCATGGTAGAGCTTGCTGTGGGGATGCCTGTTGCAAAACACGAAGTGGGGACCCCTCAGTTGTCTGTTACATCACCCTTGCCAAGATGAGCTCTGAGCCTGTGTCACTGAGGTCTCAGGACTCCATTTGCAAGTAGAACTGGAGCACCTGAGTCCTGCCTCTATGCTGCACACGTGTTACTGAGTTGAGGGGGTGCATTTTTCTTTACAGCAAAGGTGGCTTAATGATGTCCCGTGTGTGGATCAGCACTGGGAGGATGGTATGACTCACTTAGCCCCACACATGGCCTTTGCACCAGGGTGTCATGTTGGACAAGAGAGGAATTCGTCAGCAAACTGCAGTGATGAGAGGAGAGTAAAACTGCTGTCTGGTAAGGAGGGGGTTAAGGGCTGTTTGGCTGTTTGGAAAATGCTTTTCTTTCAGTTCTGGTCAGGCAAGGACATTCCTTGTGATCGTTGGACTCCTGAGTAGAATGCAGGATCTTACCTGCAGGGCTGCCCATGCCTTCCCCTGCGTCTGTCCTATAGCTCTGGGCCACCTGGTGCCATTGATGCTGCCTGTTTCCAGCATGTGCATGCACCAGTAGTCCTTGCATGCCTGTGTATTACTGGGCACAGCAGGACTGATTGCCTGCAGCTCTGTTCCCCACTGAGGCTGGCAGACATGGTGCTCCTCTGTCCTGGTTGCCCGAGGACCAATGTCCCATGCAGACTGGCAGGTGCCCAGCTCAGAAAGACACCCCAGACCCACTGGCAGCCACTCACCTTCCTCTGAGTTGCAGGGACATGGGTGCTATACAGACCTGTGATTGCCACACTCCTTGCTCCTCTCAGACTGCTTGACAAACCCAACTGCTCCTCTCCTAGAAATGTGGACTGTCCTTGGTACCCTCTTGCAATCTTCTAATTCACACTGAAAAAAGAGGGAAGTGGCATTAGGAAAGGGTATCACTGGCTGCAGAGCCACATGGCATCACAGCACTGGGCACCCAGGTGTGCACAGAGGCACAAATACAGGGTAAAGCTCAGAGACCTTGGCTTCAAGCTCAGCCTCCGGCTTGAGGCTTTGTAAATAACCCTTCCTCTGTTTGACAAGCATTGTCTCTTGTGAATCATTTAGCACCTTCCTTCAAAAAGTTCATGTCAGTCCTGCTGTCCCCCCTCCATTGCCTATTGCATATTGCCTAGTGGTATATCATCCTGATGTCCTGGATGCCCTCCCAGGCTATCACCCAAAACTTCTTGTAGATTTGGTACAGCCAAATCTACAAGCCCTTAGGGTGCCAGGAGAGACTCCACTCAATCTGTACCCAGTGACTGGCTGCGGTGCTGGTGACTAGAGACCCTTAGGCATCCCTGTTCCACTCCCTGTCTCTCCCTGAATACTTGGAGATGGGGCACCTCTGTTTAATGAACATAGAGATAAAACTTCTCTGCCCCAAATTACACCAGTGTCCAGAAGCAACACAAACACAGCATGGAAGGGGTGTCACAGCTTCAGACACCAACCTGTCCTCTTCCCCTGATCACTTCTTCACTTCTTGAGGCATCCCTTGGAGGTCTTCTTCACAACAGGCTTCTGGAGAGAGTGGAAGGTCACGTGGAGAATGCCCATTGTTCTGAACCTATGATGAAGACAGAAGCAATCAGGAAAATATCCGTGCTTGGGCCCAGAGTGTGCTGCACAATGAGACTTCGGGCACATGTAATTTCACTGTGGTTTGTCCTGCCCCTGGTGTTGCCCCTTGGTTTGTCTGTCTTACACATGGTCTCCTGCAGCCAGGCACTGCTGCTCTTTTCCCTGTCCTGCAAGGGCTCATACCACCCACTGCCATCAGAGGAAGAACAAGCTGTGCTTGGAGGGGGCTCTTGGTTAGCTGACCAGCTCCCCAGGGATTTCTGTTAGAACTAGATGCTGGGACCAGTACAGCCCAGGCTACTCCTGGCCATGCCCACCCACCAACCCCTGCTCTTGTATTTCTTTAGACCAGTCTCCTAAGGAAGGCAAGCTTGTAGAAACACGGGCTCTTTGTTCAGTCATCTCACGTTTACTCACTCAACATCCATAAAATATAAAAGCATTTAAGAATTTTCCTAGTTGCACATGTTTACTAGAGAGGGGACAGAGAATTAAATTCCTAGCAGATTTGTGGAAATACATGATGGGGTGGAGGAAAGCGACCTCAGAGACCCTGTGCTGCTGTGGGATCTCTGCATGTATGAGGGCCTGGGGAAATGCCATGGTATTGCTTCCCTCTCCTCTGCTTGTGTTTATAAGTACCTATTTTCTTTTCCCAGCAATGTCCCTCTGCTCACTGCCAAGTTGCAGGCAGCTTTGCCCCTGAGCCTCCTGCTTTCTCCTGAACCCAGCCCAGCAGGTAAATCCGTGTCCCTAGGTGTGACTGTGATGGCCAGAAACATGCCCGGGGTTGGTGCCCTGTGCCAGCAGAACACATGGCCAGCCTGGAGGCAATGTGTGGTTTGGCAGTGAAGGCTGAGACATGATACCCAGCCACCAGTGCAGCCACAGACATGGCATTTGTGAGCTCTGCACGTTTGCCCCGAGGCAGGTTTGGCGGCAGCCTGGCTGAAAAGCAACAGAAACGGGAAAGAGCTGTCACCTGGTGTACAGATGGGGCTTTTCCTAAACAACTGCTGCCCTGCCACCTCTAAGGAGGTGCCTATGCCTTTGGTGAAGGGACTCTGTGGCTCTTCCTCAAAGGTGCAAGGAAGAGAAACCTGAGCATGGCACAGTGAGCCCCAGCCTAAATTCAGCCCTCTTGTTTCTGGACAGGCATTGCTGGAAGCACTGGATTTCACCATAGGAGAGCTCTGTGCCTCAGTCTCTCAGGCAGAAAAAGGCTCTGTGCACAGCTCAGGAGCTCCTGGGGGTGAGTGTGTGGGAGATGTGGGCCATAGTCACCGTCCGTGCTGTTGGGACCACACAGCCCTTTCCTCTGCTGCTCATAGGCAGGTGAGCCCCTTCCCAGCCTTCCCCCAGCAAGCTGCTGGCTGAGTGCTTGGGAAAAGGTGGTGGGAAAGCATACAGCTTTGGCACAGGATCTGACTTCTGTGCAGGGACAAACATCTCTGTGGAGCCACCAGATGCTGCTGCAGTGAACAGACTGAATGCAAAGAGGCAAGGGAATGGGCATTTTCTTTTGCATTGAAGACCCCCCCTAGAAGACTTGACTTTCCTGCCTCTGTCCCTGGTTGCTGTGTGGAGAAGTGCCGTGCAAGAGTGGTGGGAAAGGAAGGAAACTTTGGACTTAGTGCTTTTCCTTCAAGATACCCATCCACCCCCACCACCTCCCCACCGCTCTCCTGCCAGCCCATCCCACTTCCCCAATCACTTTTTCCCCGCCCCAGGCAGGATTAGCAGCAGGGAAAACATAGGTCAAGAAAAGCCACTGACACGCTAAGGATTTCTGACAAACAAAAATCAGCCAGTCTGGAACAGACTGTGGAGGAACTGCCCTTTAAACCATCCCATAGCTGAATCCTAATAGAATCATGGAATCTTAGAATCAGCTGCGTTGGAAGAGACCTCAAAGATCATCCTGAGGAAGGACCAGCTCCCTCCAAGACATTTGCACCCTGCAATGCCACTTCTGGCAGTTCCCTCCCAATGCCAGTGGCATAAAAAGGTGGGGGACTCAGTAGAGCGTACTTACATGCTGCCTGTCCGATTTGGGGTGGAACACACACACTGGAGAGGGCTGAAGTGCTTGTCTGAAGAGCTGAGCTGGTCTGTGACTAGTCAGGTTGTGTGTCAGCTGAGCTCTGATACCACAGCCCCTGTTGTGTCACTTGAAGCTGCCTGCTTTCTGTTTCAGTTTTGAAAGCCATGGGAATCTAGGCAGTACTCCTCCCTGATACTGCGTCATCTAAATATTAGCCAGAAAACATGCCAAGGCTAGCCACGCCCCTCCGAGCTTGGGGCAGGTTTGCACGTCCTTCTCCCAGCTGTGCTAACTGGTGTGAATTAGCTGACCAGGCTAAGTTCACCCATGAATGTTGTGCTTCTAGAGTAGCTTGAGTGTCTGTGAAGGCTTAGATGAATTTGGTTTGTTTGGACACTTTAGAGGTGACTGACCATCACAGCACCAACCCCATTACCACAGCACCGTCAAGAGTTCACTGGTGACATTGCCCTTCTTGCACTTTGAACATTGATCCCCTCTCTTTGCTTCCCAGACTCAGCATTGCCCAATCTCCCTCCTGCCTGCAGATACCACGCCTACACGGGCACAGTGCAGGGGAAGTGGCAAGCTACCTGCTGCTACAGGAAATCTTTGAAACCTTGTGTGATGTAAGGGGCAAAACTATCCTTCCTTTAGTCCTCCTGATCCAGAGCTGTCTGTCCTATTAGCAGCCTTCATGTTGGGTCTGTTAGGAGACCTGTGTGTTGGGACTTGATACATGTGGGACACCTAGCCATGAAGCTATTCACAGAGTCTGGGCTAGTGTTTTCATGTTTAGGCATGTTCTAGAAACCTCCATGTGGTCCACATGTTTATTGGCACTGGAATATTGGCACTCACATCGAAGAGCACAAGGTAGGTGAAAGGAAGTGGCAGAAGCACTCCTCGGTATTCCCTGAGAAAGTCTGTGTCTCGTCCCCTGCAGAGTCTCAGTCTCTGCTGCTTGTAAGGCCTCCTGGGATGCCATGGCTGCCAGCAGGGAGAGGTCCAGTCAAACTCTGGCTCAAGACTTGTCCTTGGTTCCAGCTGACCTGATTCTGGGCACTTCCTTCCATACCTTTGTCTGCCTTTCTGGCAGGTAGTTCTGCTGCCTTCTCCTTCCAGGCATTTGGGCATGGAAGATTGTGCTTGAAGGCAGGATGCAATATGCCTTTTGGTTCTCCTTCCTAGGGGCACTTTACAGGTACGTTGTGACTGCCTCTTAGGCTTCAGATGCTAAAGTCTTATCTGATGATGGAGCAGTTGGGGAGGATAAGAAGCAGGGCTTCTATATGTGTGTGCCTGGAGAGACTGGATGGAGT